CAAGGGATATAATACGAAATGAATCCATTTCGGAAAGTTGACGTGTAGCATTAATAAGCAATAAGATGGGAGAGAGTAAACTTAGGTGGGCTGACCATGTGTGGTGCCTACCCAGTACAACACCTATTGGGAGGTGCAAGTTAGTACAAGTGGAAGGATTGAAATGGGTAAAAGGTAGACCCAAAAGGATGTGGTTGGAAGTAGTTTGAAAAGATATGGGGACTTAAGGCCTCACTAATGGTATGGTCTTTAATAGAGCAGAATGTCAAATTAGGATGCATGTAGCTAACCCCAATTAATTGAGAAAAAGCTATGATGATGATGATATATTATATTATTTATTATTGTATATTAAGCAAAAGCCACACCCTCCCTATTTTTGCACCACGTATCCCACTATATTAATAACTCTCTTCTCTCTTCCCACATCTCTCTAATGACCATGCATGTATTTACCTCCCACGTTTCTCTCCCCCTCGGAGCTTTCTCTCTGCCACTATGAATATGCAATTAATGTATCTCTATGTGATAACTCCCTCCTTAAAATCTCCCATAATCTCTCTCCTCTCTCACTCATCTCTCTATTTAAAAATTTCTCTCTATCTTTAAAAAAGCCCATAATCTCTCCTCTCTTATTCATCTCTCTCTCTCCTTAAATCTCTCTATCAATCTCTCTCCCATGTTTCTCTCCCCCTCCCACCTTTCTCTCTCCCACTATGAACAGGTAATTAATGTAATTAATATATCTCTATATAATAACTCCCTCCTAAAATCTCTCCCATAATCTCTCTCCTTTCTTACTCATCTCTCTCCTTAAACATCTCTCAATCTCTCTCTCCATATCTCTCTTTAGTAAAAACATTTTATCTCCAGCAATCTTTCCTCTCTTATTCATCTCTCCTTAAGTCTCTCTATAAATCTCTCCCTTCCTAAATCCCTCTTTAAAATCTCTCTTGGTTATCATATCACCGTGTCTACAAGTTCTCTATGGGCTATCCTATGTTCATTTCTTTAGTAATTTCTCACAAGGGTCCCTGCTGTCGTCATCATCATCATTCTAGCCTATTGCCAGTCAATTGGGGTCCACTACAAGGGTCCTTTTTGTCAAAAATATTTTTCTAACAAAAAAGTAGAAGGTATGTTATTTGTTGCTATCTCTGTATAATAGATTTCGAGTTTGGGTTCATTCTCTCTGTATAATAGATTTCGAGTTTGGGTTCATTCACTCTTCTCTCTCTAAAATTGAACATAATAATAAGTACAAGTTGTTGTTTTTGTTGTTGTTGTTGTTGTTGTTGTTGTTGTTGTTGTTGTTATTGTTGTTATTATTATTAGTATTATTATTATTCCTTACTTTATTGAATTATTTTCATTATTAAATTGCTTATAACTTACTTACTTATCTTCTAGCTTTCTCTTGCTATTTTCCAAATAGATTATGTCTCTTTCAATTTTTCTATTGAGAAGTAATATTTTTATTTTTATTTTTATTTTATAATTTACTTTTATCATATTAAGTAAAGTCCATTGATCATGAATACTAAAGAAAAAGGATTATTTTTTTCTTTTTTATTGTTATAATAAATGATGCATCAATTTGTTTTCATCTCAATTTACTTTTTGTAAGTATTTTAACTATAATTTTTATATTTTAAAATTTTTACGATTATTTGAACATTACATTACTTTTGTAATTACAATATTATATTTTTTAAAAAAATTGTGATGAAGTATATATAAGATTTAATTCTTTTTCTTTTTCGATACTTGAGTAATTTTTATTTTCTAATTATGAATTCTAATTGCATCTCCTCTAGTTTTCTCTCACTACTTTTCATTTGCACTATGTCTCGCTTGATACCTCTATTTAAAATAGCATTTAATATTTTTTGACCTCCCTCTAATCTTATTTTATCACAAACAGTATATCTAAATTATTTCTTTCTTTCATGGTTTTAAAGAAATTCTATTCTTCTCAAGTTGTTGCAAATAAAGGGCCATAACCCGGTGCTGGTCCTACCAATGCAGGGTCCTGGGAGGGATGAGCTGGAAACGGTACTAACCTTTGGCTTATGCACAAAGTGGCCACTCCTAGGACTCAAACCCACGGTCTTACGTTGGTTTCCCGAGCCTTTTATCGTCACACCAAACGACGGCCCCGTTGTTGCAAATATTATATGAAATTAATATTTAATATTAAATTCATTATTATTTAATAAAATTATTCAATTGTCGAGATAAATTCAATGATATGTACGATCATGTTTTATTGAAAATATTTTTCAATAATAAATATATTTCAGTGATTAATATTAAATATCATGTGCAACACACATGCATATTACTAGTATTATATTATATTATATTATATTATATTTTAAGAGGTAGAAGTTGGAAGAGGTGGACAACTTGAGGGAGGAGCAAGAGTTGCGAGAGGAAGTCCAATGAAACTAAGACTGAGTAGAACCAGGAACCGATGGACCCCTAGTTGGAGTTCCCAAATTAGTGGGACAAATGAACTATGAACCGGTGAAAATCTCAATATCTGGACCAACTAGTTCGACCGTCCAGCCTTATCCCTTTTAATTTGTCGACATTTATAACCAAGGTCAAACAGTGTAAGTGGCTGCAAGAGGAATTGGACATGTTCCAATGCATATAGATAAACTAAATAGGATAGAGCAAAAGAGGCTTAACAACTCGGTCTTTGGGCAATATAACTTGAGGTTGAAGCAAAAGTAACAAATTGTAGTGATAGGCTCTTATACTATTTTTCCATTATGGTATAATTGTATACCTCTTAAAGTTCTAAGCTGGTGAAATACTATGAAATGTAGAACGAAAGACCTACATGCTCAGACCCAATTGACCTAGAGAACATTGATATTGCTAGAAGTATGGGTCATCCAGCAAAGGTGTCCAGTTCTCGAAGGCATGGATGAACAATTAGATAAGGCATGGACAAGCAATTAGTAACTATATGGAGATAGAACCACCACAAGGACGTAAATTTTAAGTAATTGATTTAAAATTTTGGATATTACAAGAATCAAGACTCTGGGCTCCTATGGTTTGTCAGTAAATGATAATCAGTAATAGCTGAAATATGTTTTTTTTTTTTTCACAGTGGGGATGATGATTTAGAGGGTCTCAGTGGAGGGAATTTCTCTGATGACAATAGGTAAGGTGGAAAAAATGAGGAAGAAGGAGAAGAAGACGAAGATGAATTGCCTATATGCTTTATTCCTTAACAGTTATGTCTTTGACTCTTTGTGAGAGTGGAAGTGTGAGGCTTTGTAATTTTTAGTTATAGGATATGATGGGATTCATTTTAGCATTTTACTAAATTACTTGCTCAATACCCTTCAATTCCAGTGTCAAATTGGTTATTGCTTAACTAATTAGTGCCTCAGGGAATGCGCTTCATGTGATATGTATTGTTAATTTGTAAGTTTGGCCTCAAATATTGCATATTTATGAATTTATATTTCTCCAAATGTTCCTAATAATTTTCTGATTTCTTTGGGATTTTCAAAATATTTTTCAGGCGGGACTTTTCTATTTTTCTATTTATTTATATTTTCTTTTTTTAATTTTAAAAAAATTGAGTAGTCTAACTAGAGAATCGATCTAGTTCGACCAGACTGACTGAACCACAATGCTTCCACCAGTTCAGTGGCCGGCCCAGTCTAAGTCACATTAAGGAGCATAAGTTGAGGAGGCAAGGGGGAGACGTAGAAGACATGATGATTATTGTGATGAAAACAATGATGAGGCCACCGATGTAGAGAATAGTAGAGAGAATGGGGGTATGAGACCAAGCACAAGAAGCAAGGTTGGGACAAGCAGGACAGGTGGCTAGCCTTGGGGACTTTTATGAAGGGCTACCGACAAACTTACTCGTAAACCAATAGGTATATAAAACAATAGTGAGACTGAGAGGCATAAGACTGAGGCACTGAGCACAAGAAGCAGGGTTGGGACGAGCATGAGGTGTCGGGAGCGTTGCGGACTTTGGGTCAAGAGGGGCTACCCAAGTTTCCCAACTGAAAAAATCATTCCAAGACTGGTACAGACATTCTCAGGATGACAATGATAAAGATTACATGCTTGGGATAACTTTGACCCTCCTTATCGTTCTTTTGGCTTGAATTGTATACTTATATATTTGTATTTTGAAATTTCAATACTCCTAAGGTTATCATCATACATTTCGGACTCTTAAATGTATGGCAGTCTAGAAGATAAAACCCTTACATTTTTTAAGTCTTCGAAAATTTCACCGATCCACATGGCAATTTTATGAGTTTTAAAAAAAATCATAATATTCTTTAATTTTTCCTAATAGTCTAGAGTTTATTTTTTATTTTTTACTTTTTAGGGCCATTTTAACTGGACAGGGCCGGACAAGCTGAGCAGATTTGAGATCCAGTGAGCCGACTCAGCCCGGTCCGTTGCCAAGTCACAACCTGAGTCCATGTTTTTGAACACTGAATTAAAACATGAAAACTACTAAACATGCAGCAGCACAGCAATAGTAGTTTACAGCATATGTATAAATCAGCACAAAATTTGTCAATTGGAAGACCTTAATCTTACAACTGCATCTAATGTTACAAAACACTAAACATGACTAATAGAGCATAGAGAAGTAAAAGGTAAAAGTATAATGAAAAGTGCCTGGAACACCTGCATAGGTCTTGCAGATGGTCCAGAAACCTGAAAAATCAGAATAGCTTAAAGTCTCAATGACTATTTTATCCCATCCTGGTGTTTAAAGTTTTGGATAAGTCCATATGCATTTACCTTCTCAACCATGCATGTTCTCTCCTTTGAACACCATTCAGGGATGACAGTCATTTTAAAAAATTGAGAGCCTTGCTACCCTCCTGATAATTCAATTTCATGGACCCCTATGCATTATCCATGCAATTGGTCCAAGTACTGTCCTGAAATTTTTCTCTACAATAAACGAGATCATAATAATGGTTTGGACATACAATGTAGGCTGAGGTTTCTCTATGGTTGCCAAAACTCCATGTCTCCTCGGGATCCTGCAAAAGACATGAAGCCATGTCTTCACTATTTTCAGCCTCCATACACCCAAGTGCCCTTTGCTTAATCTGATAGAACTTGTCAATAACCTGCAACCAATCATAAACAAAGATGGGTTTGAACTTTAAACTCAATGTACCTGTGAGAATTTAAGTATATTATACCCCAAAGTAAAATAAAATGAATATTGTAGAAGCTAGTGAAGCAACGAAGATGTAGCATCAAGATAATGTTTCTAATAGAAAGGTAAAAATTCAATTTAATCTGACTGACAATTTTGGAACATGCATTGTTAAGTTTCAACAGTAACTATCATGGGCAATCTAAAGATAAATGTCTATTAGCCAAAAAATCAGCCCCTCCACCCTTGCTTTCCCAAAATCCCCTATATAACTTACTTGCAGAAAATGACACTGAGAATTCAGTATACAATTAGCACCATTCAACCCTTCAATTTAAAAGAAACTGATCAGCATATCTAGAACTACATGGAACTCTTAGTGGACAAATCCATATCAATTTAGCCTATATTCCTTTTACTTGTATGGTTTATTAAGCATCAAATCAGGAGTAAAATAGTCATTTTAAATGTTTCAGGGGTTCAGGTACGGTCCCAGAAATGGAAGTTTTGTCAAGAATTGTTTTCTTGTTCAAGCAACATCCTGAAAATCGTATTTTCAACTTTGCAAGATTGCTGTTGTATTAGTAAGGAGGGTTCTGCAAAAAAATGCTTCTAACCTCTGATTAAATAAACTGGATTGTAGTGAAACAGGTGAACAGAAATTATTTATCCTAAGAATATGTGTAGCAAAAGAAACCATCAATGGCATTTGAATCATTACACCCATGCACGATCATCGTCTTGAAGGGTATGATTATTGGTACATTTGCAACCAAATAAGGTAAACTACATATATACCTGCTCAGAATGTGCAACTTCTTCTCTTGCTTCAATCAATTCCTTCTGCAACTCAGCATTGATTCTTTTCTCTTGAAGGTATTCTTCTGTAAGCTGATCAAACCTGACACAAAGAACACAGGTCAAGAACCGCAGAAAGTAAACAGTTACTTTCAATAAGGAACATTCCAAAAACAATTGTTTTATCTTCACTTATCTGCCAATATATGCTATAGTAAAAAGTGTTATCAATGATTCTGACTTCTAAACTGTAATAAAAATCATAAAATAATTGCACCCAATGAAAACTAGATGAATAAAAATTATGCGCCCTTAGGAGTCCACCTGATCTAGTCAAATCATCAATAGCATTTCAAACCGTACTTATAAAACCTGCAAGTATCATCTAAAGGCAGGCAAGATAATTAGCAAGTTTCACCCAAATAATCACATAACAATCCTAGCCCATGCCAGACTAACATCCATGACTATGTCCATGTAACAGTTTCCTGCTCCTACTGAGACATGAGTTAGCATGTCAGAGTGTTCACCCTACCCTGATACATGTGCAATGAGATCTTACAGGTCTTGGCTTGATCTCACCTAAAATGAAGTAGGATTAGAAAGAAACCACGGGAGAAGAATACTAGGGGTGGCAATGGACCTGGCCCCGACCCATACCCAACGGGTATAGCCGACACGGTATGGGTCCAAGTTATGGACCCGGGTGTAGGGTCCGGGTCCAATGAATGATACTCGACCAATCTCGGGTACGGGTATGACTATATCCGATCCGACGGGTACCCGGACCAGTATTAATATATAACCTTGATTTTATTATTTTACATGACTTAATTTTTTTACAACTTTAACTTTCCCCACCCTTTTATAGAGCTTCCATCCTAGGGATTCCACATACCTCTTCGATGTGGGATTAATCCCATACTAATAAAATAGGAGATCTTAACGTGAGAGGCATATCAGTTGTGCGTCTGGCATGCCGGTCTGGTGCCAGCTCATTAAGAGAGAGAGAGAACGTTGGAAAATGAGGGAATATTGCTTTTTTATTAGGATGCTTAGTGCACCCTGGTGCAGCCCATTAAGAGAGAGAGAGAGAGAGAGGAGGAGAGAGAGAGAGAACGTTTAGGAAAATGAGGGCATATTTCCTCTTTATTAGGGTGTGAGGCGCCAGCCAATTACTTTGGTGTATCATGAGTTTTTATCTCTCTCTAACCCCAATCCTATGTACATGCACCATCTTTTATAGATAGGAAGTTTGATCCCACATTGATGGGGATAGAAGAAATAGGTGGGTTGAGATCTATAAAAGTAGAAGTATTGGAGCATTTAGCTATTTCCAAACCCCCTCATTGGAACAGCATCGGGTAAGGGTATGGGTCCCAGGTCCAACACTACCCATCGGGTAAGGGTACGGGTAGGTTCAAAACACTACCCAGTGTCGGGTATGGGTCCGGGTATGGTTAATATAGGGTATTTCCTGGGTACGGGTATTGTTGGACCCGACGCATTGCCAGCCCTAAAGAATACACCCTCAGAGAATCAAGCTTTTCCGGTGCAAGCTCCTTTCATATAAATTGAGTCAGTGAAACTTTTATGCAGTGAAATACAAGAGCCCCAATTCTGAACTAAGAATATATTTGAACAGACAGGATAACCGGAACACTAAGGATTGCACATAAAAAATGTCTGAAGATACAGTCAAAGTAACGGTACAGAGTACAAAATATCAGAGAAGTTCAAATTTAGGGACAATATAAGCCATTTCTTCAAAATTCTATGATGTAAAGGAAAAAAAAATTAGACATTCACAATTCCATCCCAGTACCCCTGTAAAACTTCTTAAGGGCGTGTTTGGCACCTAGAGATTTTGGGAGTGGGACGAAGCCTCCCACAAATTATGGAATTCATATACCCAAAATTGACTTAAAAGACTTTTGTACCCACTGTACCTTTTCTGCAGGTCATTCAGCCTGTTTGACATGGCTTCCTCTCTTTCAATAGCACTTTCTGCCTGTAGTACATAACAGAATCCAAAATCATCAGATAAGAAAGAGGAGAGGATTCTTTCCTCATATAAACAAACTACGAAACAAGGGACCGGTTATGTAGATTCTAAAGCATTTGTATCTTAGAAGAAAGCATCAAATACCTCCATCAATGAATGATCCCTCTCAGCAAAAGCAGCAGCAACACAGCCCTGAAAGAATTTAACTTGCTTCTCCGCTTCCTTGTTCTGTGATGATGGCCCAAAAAGCAACCAGTCAAAAATATTATAAGAGACAACATTAGCGATGTGAATAAAACAGAAACATAAACAAAGAGTGTGTAATGCATGTTTGTGAGTAACGGGTACTAATTTAGTATATCATGTATTACTTTAAAGATGTTATAGGATACAACTTTAATGCGAAAAAGAACTTGTGAAGAAAGCAACAAACAAATTCAATTATATCTTTTCCGCTTAACTATATCTAACTTGCAATCATTTGCAAATTTCACTTCTCTTGTATCTTTGTTTAAAATGAGAAGCCAATGATCCAAACATAAAGATGGACCCAATTGCTTGTAGTCCATGTTCGTTGCAAGGTGATAAATATTCAACCAATTTATTTACTGAGTGAAATTCAAAATATCATCAAAAGAGACTAAGTGAAGATGGTACCTTTTCCACCTCAGCACTATGCAAATCTGCCAATTGACTCTGACAATTAAAAAGCAAATATGCAATTAGGTAATTGGGAATGAGGGACACAAAAGGATTCAGAATCTCAAACAAGCAATAAACTAGACTACTAGAGCCTCACTTTGATACGATAAACTTCTGAAAGCTCCTCCTGAAGATTAAGATAATCTCTATTGCAACCTGCCAACTTCTTTTTCAGATTCTCAATCTCCTGCTCCAAACCAGCTGTCCTGGTAGGACATTAATTTGACTTGAAGATAGAAGCTCCCAAAAGTTTGTGATACTATACTATGAGCAGAACAAATAAACAATTTGATAAGACAAGATGAAAGGGAATTACAAACCTCTGTAAATATATTCGACCAACCACGCCTAAATAACCAGGCCCAGATTGTTGCATGCATAATTGTTCAATATCTTTCCTTAATTCATCGCGCTCTAAAGGGAAAAAAAACTCCGTAGTTAATCTAGATTAAAATAACCTATCACCAAAAAGGAAAAATCTACACCACAATAAAAATTGAGTGTTCATATAAAATGAGCTTTACTTATGCACATATATAGCAGAAAAGCATCAAGTTAAGAGATTACTAAAAAGAAAGTATAAGTAGTTCAATAATTGTTTCTCACGAAATTCATCAAAACTTTATAAATCCCTTTCTTCTATAATATCCCCCCAATCCCCATAATTCTCCCAGATACCCCTCAAACCTCCAATATGTTCTGTAAGAGCCCTTCAAAACTCTGCTCTACTAGGTACATATCCTGCATCATCACGCACCTAAAATTCTCCATGAATTCCATTTTCATCTCTAATGAGACTATTAACACCAACCACCAGCAATACATTCACCTAGAAAATATAGAACGCACATGATACACTCAACTAGTCTAACACTACTACAAACCCAAACTCCCCAAGCAACCACAGTTACATCCAACACTGTTAGCTTAAAAATTTCTCCAAACTTAAAGGTGATTGCTATGTGAAATGTATAGTGTTATGTTTTTGTTCTTCTAATCCATGAATAACCATACGTTTATACAACAAAGATTTCTATTCTCCAAGGAAGTTGAAAAACATATGGGAATACATACCACGCTCAAGTTGTTCAACACAAAGAGCCAAGGCTTCTTTATTATTTCCTCTTTCCCCCATCCCTGGTGACAATCAGAAAGGTAAAGACCAAGATCAAAAGATAATACTCATTTTGTCATTAGTATCAGGCTAAAATTGTACATTTCTATTCCTTTGCAAAGACATCTAATTGTATACACATGACTGTCTACCCAATATCATTTTAATGCTGAAATAAATCAATACATCAAATTATAAAATGGCGGATTGTACTCATATTAGTAACTGAAATTATTCATTTTTATTCCTTGCAAGCACATCCTGATATAATAATGACCTGTCTCATCGATATCAACACCAAGATAACACACCTGCACTAGAAAAAACATAACTGCACAAAGCTACCATTTACTTCAAAAACCTCAATAACAGCCCATCAGCAGTAGATATATAAAGCAACTAAAATCAAAGACAAAATAAAAGAAAGACAAACTGGAAGCCCTTTTTTTTCTATCCCTTATTATCAATTATCCCGAGTTGTGTGGCTTGTGTGAATAGACTCAATTCGGAGTTAATCTCTATATCCTTGCCGCATATTCAGTTAATAAAATGTGGATTTCCGAATAAAAAGTTTCAAAATGACGCATTGTGGATTTCATTACAAATATCGAAAACAAAAAAAACAGATGCAAGACCGAAAAAAAAAACACCAAAGAACCATGATTCTAACTCATCATATAGAGAATCCAATGGCATTAAAAAATGAACATAACCCTACTAAAATGGGCTAAAAATAAGGTACACGAATCACCAACCTAAGAAAACAAAAATATAGAAAATGGCACCAAGCAATTGAGTTTTACAAGGCCACACAGCTTCAAAAATTCTAAAAAACCACATCTAAAACAATGTCTTCATCCTCATCAGAAACCAAGACCAGGCTCCAATTGTTTATAACAAAGAACAGGGAACAATTCCTTCCAAAATTTAAAAAGGGAAAAAAAAACCTAGGGTTTGAAAAAGCAATCCCATGACACTGAATTTAACTTAAATTATCAAAAAAAAAAATCCACCATGAATGACCTGATTCCCCATAAAACAAGATTAATTCAACTCACCTTGATACAGTAGAAGTTTCAAGGAAATGGGGCTTAGAAGCAGAGAGAGTAGCAGGGACTAAATACGGATCCATCTTTTGCGTTTTGGAGAGAGAAACAAAGCAGAAAAAGATATATGGAGAGAGAGGGGATTGATTTAGGAACCATCATCCCTTTATAATTTATTCAAACACAGGTGGATTGCAGATTGATGGGGCTAAACGTGTATAAAAACTCTCTCTCCTCTCTCTATTTCTCTCTCTTCACCACCTACGACCCTTTGGCTCGTTTTGTTGGTGTGAAATTATTGGCCCATCAACGAGGTTTTCGTAATTTGCAGAGTGGCCTTGTTATAAAGCGAGAGAACATGCTGTTTTGGATATAATGTTACAAGCAAACAAATCCTACGGCTAATTGGGAAACCTAAAGGTTACATATATCGATTGAAACTTTAGAGATTACATGCTTCTCGTTAAGAAGCTGCAGTCCAAGCCACCTCCCATGAGATAACTTCACCCGCTACCCTTTTCCCATGTAGCACATCATGTGTTTTGGACACTTTGCGGTAGTTGTCCATGCTCTTTCACACCCCCAAAAAAAACTAGTTCTATGGTTGAGTGGATGCGGTGGAGATGTGCTTTTGGGTCTAATGTGATGGTCACATACTAATGAAATTGAATGAAGAGTTTTATAAAATACTTGAAAGTCTGGTCATGCTTTTATGGGACACATATTGGCCGGTCAAGAAACGACATATCCATAAAATGAGTATAGCTAAGATGCGAATGTTAAAATCGATGAATGCCAAAACAAAAAAAAGATAGAATTCGAAAGGTGTACATTTGATAAAACTTAGGAGTTGTTTCAATAAACAATAAGATGAGGAAAAGTAAACTTACATGATCTCGTTGTTAAGCTCATTGTTTAAGGCCTCTTGCAAAAATTGTGAATGCACGTAGCAAAAACTCAGATTTTGTGACAAAACACCCGATTTTTGCATATGTGTATGAGTAAAAAAATGATTGCAATAAAATAAATAAAACAATTAATAACATGCTAGCATCAAGATTTAGGCAGTTCACATTTTCAGGTTATATATTTATAGAATGAATATAGCTGAGATGAGAATGTTGAGATAGATGAGTGACAAGACAAGAAAATGATAGACTTTGAAAGATGTACATCTGATAAAACTTAGGGGTTGTTTCAGTAGGCAATAAGAAGATGGAAAGTAAACTTAGGTGGTCTCGTTGTTAGGCTCACCATGTGAGCCCTCTTACAAAAATTGAAGATGCGTGCGGATTATGTAACAAAACACACGAGACTTTTTGCATATGTGTATGAGTGGAAAAGTAATTGCAATAAAATAAATAAAATAATTAATAACTTACTAGTACTGAAATTTAAGTAGTTCACATTTTCAAGTTACGTCTATAGGAGAAATTGATCAATAATCAACTAATAAAAATAATGGTTACAACTTCTTTCAAGGGCCAAGCTCTCATGGGCCCTCTGAGTTCTTCTAGAGAATCTTCTCTCTAATTTTTCCTTATTTGAGATTCTTCTCACTCTTAGAGGTTTTCTTATATTTCTCTTTCTGATAAGCTTTTCTCTTTCTCTTCTTCTCTCTAAAAAAACTCTCACTTTCTCTCTCTTCTTCTTTTTCTCTCTAAGAGAAGGTTTACTGTTTCTTAGCAATGAAGAGACACGCTAAGAAGAGGGAACACATTTCCTACAAGAAACCCTAACTCCCATCCTACTTTGGAATTTATATGGGCCAATCGGATTTATTCTCTTTGTTATAAGAATCCTATAACCTCTCTAAGTGAGGTTATCTTTTGTAACTACCTCAATGACTTGTAATGCAAACCATTGATTTAATTCCCGTGACAAGCCCCCATAATTAAGGAAAACCACTAATGTCCCTTCTTTATAGGACGGAATACCCAACCATCTCCCTCTCCTGCCCTAGGATTGAGGTTTTCCTTTGGAGATCAAAAAGTGCTCAAATGGCATTCATGTCGATCATGTTTGTCTCCGGCTAAGGTCTTTGTCATTATATTCGAGTTTTTTTATTGGTATGGATCTTCTCTAATTGTGGTAACTTCTTCTCTATGACATCTCGAATCAAATGGTAGCACACAACAATGTGTTTTGTCTTATATTGGAAGCTCACATTTTTACTCAAGTGGATAGTGCTATGACGGTCATAGTGGATGAAGAGATTCATCCAAGCCACACACTTCTACAGACTGTTATGGTGGATGCAACGATTCTATGTGGTCGACAAAACCACATGCTTTTGTACCTTGGACTACCATGACATAGCTTCCTCACAAAAGTAAACAACTATCACAAGATGATTTCCAGGAGTTTATATCTCCAACTATGTTGCTCTTACTGTCACACTAGATGACGAGATTCATCCAAGCTACACACTTCTACAGCTTTCACTATCATAGTGGTTGCAACGATTCTATGACTTCCAAGAGCTTGTATCTCCCCAGCTATGACTGCGATTTTGTACCTTTGTAACACAGATATGCGTTTTCCAAAACTCAAGTATACTTTGGATGTTCCTCTGAGATATCTTAATATCCACTTGACTGATGTCCAATATTCTTTGTTAGGATTAGCAATAAATCTACACACTATGTCTATTGTGTGTGCGATATCTAACTTCATGCACACCATGACACACATCCAACTTCTTACGGCTGAACCATAGGACACTTCTACATTTCTTACTTTGCATTCTCGATCAAAGGGCTATGCTTAGCACTCAACTAATGAAAGTACATTATACTTTGCAAAATAAGCTATGGGATGCATATGACATGTGATTCAATATTATTTATTTTTAACATTTTTTTATTTTGACATCGTTATTTTCTATTTTTTAGGGACAAATATTTTTTAATGCCATACCATTGAAATTTATAAGGGGATTTATTTTTATTTTTAATCATTTGATATGGAAATGTTTTCTAATAATTTTTTAATCTGATTATTATAATATTATAATTGATAATTTTAATTAATTTTTATATTTTATTTATTAATTTATATGTATTATAAATTACATAATGTATTATTTTTGTTATAGTAGTAAATAAGATTTTTTAAATTAGATGATATTATAAGATACATTTTAAATTTATTCCTATTTGTATAATAAAATAATTATAAAGTAAAGTAGTAAACTTTCTCAAAAAAGATAGTTATAAAGTATAAACCAATAATTCCAATTTTAGTGTATAATATTTTAGTTTGTTATGTTGTGATAATTTTGGATAAGTAAAGTGAATTTATAAACGTTCGATATGATATTAATTTCACTTTACAAGGGGTAGTTTTTAATCTTATAATATTTAAGTGTTTTTGATATTTTTGAATTATTTTGTTGCAATATATTACAATTAATAATTATACATATATCCAAACAAGGAAACAACATATCAATATTAACGTATTGTTACAAATAATGAAAGTACATAATGTAACACCCCCAATTTTTTTCAAAACTCAAAAAATATTATTTTTAGAGCTTTTTAATGATTTTTTGAGAGGCTAAATCTGGTTGATTCTTTGATCCAAATCGTTGATTTGACACGGTTTTTGAGGTAGCCGATCCGAGTTACTGATCCGTTTTTATAAACCTTTTGGATAAGAAACATGATGACTTATAGTTTAAGAGTATGACCCTCGATAGAACATATTGGTAAAACATTTGTCTTCTGGCTGACTCCAAATAGATCTCATAAGAAATATGATAACTTATAACTTCAATAGTGAAAATTGATGGAACATAATTCTTGTAGCTTACCCAAATAGTTGAAATGATGCTGAGCTAATGATAGTTAACATTTTTGTGTACTTAACAAAACTTGCTTCTTTTTTAATGCGGACGTGGAACTTTTTTTTTTTGAATGTACGTGAGACTTTTGATAGGTATTGAAATTTAAACGTCGTGTTGTAGCTCCTTTTCCACCGTGACCTATAGAGTACATTCTTTTACTGAATATGACTTCTTCCCATTTTCAATGAGTTATTTTTCAACACGTATGTACCAATATTCTATGAAGAGATTTTACAGATGTCGCAATCACTATTAGTTATTGAATATAAAATCGGGCATATATATATTTTATGAAGAGATTCTATAGATGTCGCAATTATTATTAGCTATTGAATGTAAAATCGGGCATATCGAAGTATGTCAAGACGTTTTAAGAATTATTTTGGACTGTGTCGAGTGATACATCCCCAACCACCTAATGATCATTTATAATTGTGACCTCTTATACCAAAAATATATAATCTTATTAATTATATATATACTTTAATGAAGGGGACCGGGTTCATATTTATCAACCTTATGAACCGCTATGTGATTGCATAGTCATGAAGGTACATTTAGGAACAATGTAGAGGCAACCAAATGGATGGCAATGTGGAATGGAAACAAAAATTGTGTTCCGTATGACAATCGACATTGTTTTACTGTTAGAAAAAGGTTGTATAAGGGTGAGGTTCTAAACAATCAAATTAAAGCGCACTTCAAAAAATCACTAAAAGAGGTTATTTCGATGTTTAAAATTCAAATAGACCATCTTAACCTTAAGATGTATGGACATGAGAAAAAATAGATATCAAGTCATGGAAATAGTACATCTTATAATGTATTTTCTATAGTGACAATTTTCAAGCATTTATAGATCTGCTCGATCAATATTATTTTTGGAGCTTTAAATCTTATAATTAGAGAGGAAAGGCTATCACAAAGATTTCCAATACTAAAACAACATATTTCGACACAATTTGAAGGTGTGCCTTACTTTGATTGTTTAGGGCCTCAGCCTTATACAAACCACACCCTTTTATTGTTTGGTGCCAAATGGATTATAGCAACATCTCAAAGCTGGTTGGTGGTAGTATGGCCATTAGTATTGCTATTCAAAATTCAGTAAAATAATCTACAAAGAAATGAAAAACAAGACTCAAAAAACATGTTAAAATTGGGACAATATCACAACTTTAACCATTTTCATTTAATTATCAAATAACATAACATAAAGTTGTAGGAAAAATATCCAATGAGCAGTATTCCATGGGGTCTAGGTGCACCCGCGCGAGCACGATGCAAATGAGTTTTAATTCATCTAGTCCCCGTTGAGCCAGGCTTTTATTGGATTACTACCTAAACGTAAACTCTCGTAGGAAAAAGTTTTTATAAGGGCAAGGCGCTATGCAATTAAATTAATACGCAACTTAAAAGTCCACTAGAAAATGTTATTTCAAAGTCCAAAAATCCTCAAATCCAACATCTCATCTTGATATCAAGATGTATGAACATACAAAAAAAAGGAAATAATCCATCTTGTAATATATTTATGAACTATTAATATGAAAAAAATTTCAAGTGTCTATAAATTCGCTTGATCTACACTATTTTTGAAGCTTTAAATTTTATAATTAAATATGAAAATAAAGTTTCAAACCATCACAAAGATTTTTAATACCAAAAATATATTTCATACTATTTAAAGGTGTGCCTGACTTTTGATTATTTGGAGCCTCAGCCCTACACAAACTACATCCTTGATAAATGGGACCTAAGGGTTATAACCCCGTGAAGGATATATTTTCCCGTTTGAATTTGCAGTCAGCATTCCTAATGAAAGATTATTCCGTTATTAATAATTATCCAACCAATTATCCTGATTATTCCGTTATTAATAATTATCCAACCAATTATCCTATAAATTAAAGATAAACGAAGGGATCACGATTTTACCAACAAAATACTCCGTAATTAATGCATAACGATTTTCTTTTCCCCGAAATAATGAACGGCGATTATAACCGAGTTTCGAAGCCATCGTCTAAACTCCGATCGTCCGATCTCAACCTTCTAAAACCCACCACCTTCCAAAGAGAAGAATGATACGCGGCGAATAAAAAGCGAGAAATCGAAATTATAAGTATTCTTGATGCTGATGTGGCATCACGCTAATGGACCCAGCCAATCGGAACGTATAAAATCTTCAGTTTCCTTCTCGCAAAATGCATGATTTTCTCTCTCTATCTCTAAGCTCATTAGAGCTATCTCTACCATCTCTCTCGTATGATTTTCTTGTTCCCCTGTTTCAGAAAAATCTTTCTGCTTTTTTTCTTGTTCCCCTGTTTCAGTAAAATCTTTCTGCTTTTTTTTTTTTTAACTTGGAGCATGGCTTTGGTGGGTGAGATAAGGATGTGCAGGCGTAATGGTTGCAGGTTTGGATTTGGAGAACACGTTGGGGTATGCTCTTTCTCTCTCTAAGATTTTGATTAGCATTAACAATGTTGAATTGCTCTCTCTCTCAGAAAGAGTTAGTTATCTATAAATTTTTGAAAACCATTAAGTTCTTTATATCCTGTTGAAGCCTTCTTTCTTTTACCGTTGATTTCTCTGGTTTCTCTTTCAGTTCTTTCTTTTACTGTTGGTTTCTCTCCCCCTGCAGAGGAGTCATTTATCTCTGTAATTTTTTTTGAAAACCAGGTAATTTAGGTTCATTATTTTCTTTCTCTATATTGCTGTTGAATTGTTTATATTGAAGCCTTCTTTCTTTTATTGTTGGTTGCTCTCTCTCTCTCTCCGTCTTCCATAACAGTGAGACTCGCCTCTGAGCTTGCCTGAGTTGCCTTCAACTTGGCGCCATGGCAAGTCCCGAGGTAAAACTCCAGGCACCACCTGAGTTTGCAATTCTCTAAAGGAATTACTCAGACAAAATACTGACTCTGTTTTCTGCGAGTCCCAGCCCTATTCCCATTGTGTTTAATAAACATTGCTCTGCATAATACTTCTTCTTCTTTACCTAAACTTTCTTCTCTACCTAAACTTGAAAACCAGCAGAAAAATCAAGTTTTATTTCTCTTTCTATCCCTCCCTATGCACATCTCTTCTTCTATTTCAAATTCCTGAATAACCAATTGCTTCTGCCCTGTTGTCTCTCTCTCCATCCATTAATTTATAATGTGGTGCAGATGACTAAGAAACGGAAGCAAGTTTCTAAGATTGGAGAAGGGTTTGAAAGAACAAAGCGCATTGCTAGGATCAATGGTTTGATAACTTGTGGATATTCGTCTCCTCATCGAGATGACTTGGATTCTGAGGACGATTGCGTTAATGAAGAACAAGAAAAAGAAACCACCTACCGGCTACTACCACAAATCAGAGAAAGTTACAGTGAGAGAGATGAAGGCAATGAAATAATGGCTATCTTAGAGAGACAACAATCAGAAGCTCCATGGGCCCCAGAGGTTTCCTCGGAGGTTGTGCGTTATGAAGTTGAACTGGAAGCTGAATATTGCCCTGAGGCCATAACTGAATATTTGAATCTTAAAAGCCAAAGGGGCAATAAAAGAGCACTCCTTCAAGAGATGATGAGGAAAGCAAAGATGCATCTCTTAGCATCTGGCTGGAAGTTGGAGCGCAGGTTGGCAATGCACCACTACATTTCATCAAGTGGCAAGGTTTATTACTGTCTCTATCGAGCTTGTATCGGATATAAGAGAGAAGAAGAAGAAGAACAAGGTTCTACTCGTAGTTGTATAGATCAGACAGGCTCCACCATATATGAACCCTGTCCTCCTAGCATAAACTCTCCACCCAATATTTCTTTTTACTCTAAAACTATAGAAAGAGGTACTCCAAAGCTCCCCATTTCTATTCGTAGTTCACTTATTGAAGAATTAACTTCTGGTTCTTATGTGGATGTAGTTTCTGATGTTGAAATGGAAGATTTCTCATTGCCTGAAAATCTTGTGGAAGAAGAAGAAGAAGAAGACTGGGTCCCTGCTGGAGACATAAGGCCTTCTATTTTGAAGAAACTTGGGGTAATCGAGAAGGACAAAGATTTAAAGCCAGTGTATTCTCCTGTAGCTCTAAGAGATTATCTTCTTCTATTTAAGAGTGATATTAGTGGAGGACAGAAGATAAAATTTGGTAAATTGATGGCCCCAAAAGTAATGGCCCATCTCTTGGCTATAGGGTGGTCACTTTCTTATAGCTTAAAGAATTCATACAGGAGGTATAATTCACCGAAAGGGAAGCGCTATGCTACTCTTCACACTGCTTGCCTATCACTAGAGAGAGAAGTCATGGGCTTGATGCAAAGAAAAAATGGCCTCAAAATGAGGGACTCATCTATCTCTAAGAAGTCCATGGTGACAAGGGATGCCAGAATTAGCAAAGAGAAAATAAACAGAGCAACTCGAAAAAGGCCCTGTCAATAGAAAGCTCAATTTAGCAAATTCAGCCCCCCCACCATCTTCCTTCCCTCTATTGTGCTCTAATACAAATAGAGAGTTCAATTTAGCAAATTCAGTTCCTCCAGCTCCATTGTGCAGCAATGCCAATAAAGAGCTTGATTTATCAAATTCAGTCGCCACACTAGTTTCCTTGCCTCCATTGTGCACTAGGGAATCCTCTACTAGAGAGAGACAACGACAACATCATTTGGTTAGAGCCACTGATAGACGAGGGTATAAAACTTTTAAGGATTCCAGTGTCTCTTGGGAAAATAAGAACCAACAAGGCCTTTACCGTGAGCTTTGTAACCTTCTTGGCACCCATGGCACCCAAAAGAAGCCAAGGGATATGTCATTGAGATCTGGTAGGCCCTCTACTAGAACTGTTTTGTCATGGATGATAGATCATAATGTGATACTACCAAGGGAGAAGCTGTCTTATTATGTGGGTGGAGAGGACAATCGTGTTAAAGGAGAAGCAAGAGTAACTAGAGTAGGGATCAAGTGTAATTGTTGCAGTGAAGTCTATAGAATTGCTGATTTTGAAGCCCATGCTAAGACCCCATCCTCCCAAATTTTTGTGGGAGATGGGAGATCACTTTATGATTGCCAAAGGCAAATGCTGGATCAGAGTGTGTTGAAAGACTTAAGGCTGAAATCTTGTGAGAGAAAGAAAGCAGATTATAACCAGTGTGAAAGTGATGAAATATGCTCAATCTGCCACTATGGAGGAGAACTTGTGCTATGTGACTGCTGCCCCTCTGCATATCATTTGGCTTGCCTCCACCTAAAGGTATGTCTCCCCTTTCTCTTTGCTATAAGTATATTGCTAAATTTACCTTGTACAATGGCTGTATTAATTGGTTTCTTAGAAGATCATCAGTTTTGTTTCATATACTCTTTTGTTAAATATTGGTAAACTATCTTAATGTTGTATTAGGAAAATGGTTTCCTATTTGTCATATATGAACAATGCTTGGTTAAATAGTTGTGTGTCCCATCAGATTTACTCATTCATACTTCGATCTATGGAGTGGATAACAATGGCGAATGCTTAATTTGAGGACACTCAATCCAATTACCAGTGAAATATATGGGTTTGCTTCCAATTAGCAATGATGTATAATAATGAACTCTCTCAGTGTCTTTGGTTGAATAACCATCTTGCGAAATTTTCTCTCTTTAACTATGAAAAAGCTAATTATTGTTCTGATCACAGTATGTGGACATGCTTGAATGATTGTACAAAAAACTTGATGAGATGATCCCACGTTTCTTGAACTGTTTTATCAAGTTTCATGTAGCAAGTAAGCTGGTTTTGGACAGCACTTTGCATTGACAAATCGCTAAATTGAGGACAATGGAATTAGCAATTGAACAAAAATAATAGTAGAAGGAATTTTCTGTACAAGTCAAACAAGTTTCTAAGTTGCATTATTTTCTTGTCAATCATTTGTAACTAAACTGAAATGTGTATTTCTTGTAGGATTTGCCTGAAGGAGATTGGTTCTGCCCATCGTGTTGTTGTGCCATATGCGACGGGGATGAAAGCAACGCCGATAGAGATCAGTTCAATGCAAAGACATTTCTTAATTGCGAGCAATGCAATCATAATTGTGAGTTTTCTCTATATATCAAGAGACATTTCATTTCGTCTTTTGCTTTTCAGCTAAATGCTTAAAGTGGTATTTTATCTGTTTATTTTTAGATCATGTGGGTTGCTACAATGAAAGAGGGTCCATGGTGGTGAAAAGCTATCCAAAAGGGAATTGGTTTTGTAGCAAGAAGTGCTCAGATGTACGTTAATCTTTTTTGTCTCTTAATTTATTTTATTGGTTAAGTAACTACTACTTGCACGGGGATAGATTTATCCATGGTTATCTTGCTGTCACATTATAGTATTTAGAAAATATTTTGGCTCTTGTTTATCTAACACTGTCTTTTTATGGCCTTGATACATAAAGTCATAAACATTTATATGCTTCAAAATCTTTTTGGTAGACTGCCTGATTGAATGCTTAAGAATATTAAAATTGGCATGCTTGATTACTAAATCTAGCACAACAATAATTTTGGTCTACTCCCCTATGTCTATGACATCAGCTTTGGGGTTGTCGGTCACCCAACTTTTCTCTGCATTCATGCTCCAGTCGATGCCGTTGTGCATCGAACCCATAAATGTGATCAAGCATAACATCAGGTCGTTCCCACTCAAATTTGCACTCTAATCTACGCCGATCTCCACTAGAACTCGCACAATATGGATCTAACATCGGAGATCTCTTCTTATTCGATGTGCGTTGTTGCAATCTTTTTTTTTACAACAAATATTCAAATATCTCCATCAAGTTATCGATTTTCTTGTATATTTGGTCATGCTCGGCATTCCTACTGTTGCGACCTCTGCAACCGTCCATCATAGTCACTAACCCTTTTCAAACCATGTTCTGATACCAAATGATGCAAAAGGAGTCCGGGAAATTAAATCTGACCTTCTTTCGATCTTAAACAAGCAAAAATTAAACAATAATGTGGGGAAATATGATTGTAAATCAAGTCATGGAAAAGAAGAAGCTATCTTTCTTCATTCATAAACAAATTCTCTACAAAAACATTCCAGTATCTTTTCTAAGGGGAAAGTTCCACCTTAAATACGTGTCAATTAAAAATGAATAAAAAAACCCAAAAGAATAGACTCCTTCTCTCCCACACCAATCTCTCTCTCTCCCCCACGTTAATCTCTTTCTCCCTCTCCCCTAGGATTTTCTCTCTCTAGCTCATTTCCTTATCTCGTAAATCTCCCTCCCCCATAAAATCTTTCTTTAAATCTTTACTCCCATGAAAATCTGCCATAAAAATCTTTTTTTAAAATCTCTACCTCCCCATCCATATCCAACATAAATCTCTCTAGATCAAGCAAAATCAACACATTAGATAATCCTACCACAATAGGGTCATGGAATCCTACACACTAGGAAATCCATCCTAAATAAAATAAAAATCCCTTTTTAGCCCCTATATGAATATTGTCCCAACAATAAAATTAAATAAATAAATATATTGGACGCGATTTGCATCACATCTCCTCCAATATCTACCCTCATCAGACATATTTCTTCTAATAGCAAAAGGCCTTTACCTACCTCACTTAGTCTACTTGAGCTTCTATTGATTGTACCAACAGATGCCAGTTTTGTCATTCATTAAAGGTAGAACTGCATCTCTTTTTTTCTTTATAGGAGGGGAATAATATAAAAAGATTCTTTTCTTTATCTTTTTCTTGCTTTCTATTTCTTTATTGCTTTGACCTTGTCCAATGTCTATCCTCCTATCCCATGCTGCATGTATTAAGGGTGATATTGCTAAGTGGCAGGTCTCAATCAATGTCGTTAGGGTGGATGCACCTTCACAAATTCAGTTTTCTAGCTCATTAGGTCTTATGCTAGTTGATCCGATAGCTGATTTCATAATGTAGCTGACTATTTTGGGTATTGACATTTTTATTGTACTAGTAGGCTGGTATACAGCAACTTTTTCATCGCCGCTCTTGTAATGTGGATTATATATTATCCAGTCCATGCTATTAAAAGCAAAAGTATCTTTAGGCTTTTATTCTTTGTATCCGGAAGCTATCTGAAGTGCCAATACATGGAACCTTAGAGATGTGTAGGGCTAGCTCAAATAACTGAGACAATATCGTCCTAGTAGGGTGAAAGGAATTCATAGATATCTTACTAGATAGAATTTACTTATTGTCAGAACAATAGGCATTGCCTTTCTTAAGTATAAGTTGGAATTTATTTCTGCCTTTACCCACAAGTTTTGGTGTGTTTATGATTTATTTTTAGTTAAGTTGCATCATTTGAAATTGTCCACTGAAATGTAATCAATTGTAGGTAAATATGGTATTTTTTTATGGTTCTTGTTCTTGTTCTTGTTATTTGTAGATTCATACATGCCTAAATGACCTTCTAGGCAAACGAATTCCAACAAAGATTTCAGGCATAACTTGGACACTTCTCAGAGGTAGGAGAAATCGCAGGACGTGCAATAACTCGGAGATTGAGGAGATGACAGGATATCATTGCAAACTTTGTGTTGCATATGATATCTTACATGAGTGTTTCGTTCCAGTGATTGAACCCTGGACAAATAGAGATATTGTTGTGGACCTCCTTTCCAATAATAGGTAGCCTTTTTTTACTATTGAATAATACTATAAAGTTTTTAGTTAACAAGTAAATCATCGCATTCACTATGAGTGCAATCTTGCATAATTTTTCTGATACGATTGATTGTCGCTTGGGATACTTCTCAATTTTGCTTGTAGAAAAGATTTTCACTTGTAAATTTTTATTACCTAACATAGTCTATGATAAAATAAGGTAGTTTTAGAGCCCAAAAAGTGATAACCAAGAGGATTGAAAAAGGATCAAATTACATAGAGGTGAAACCTTGCCTAACTTGTAGTGGGTAGGAGCGTTATTATTTAGATTATTGTTTTAGATAGACGTTGTATATTAGGAGACCATTTATCTTTGATACAAGGAGATCACAACTGCTACCTGCATTTGGATGTCAAATTGGATGGCTTGGGTTGTAGCACAAAGTTTGAGAATTTTTTTTTAACTTTGAGTCCAGTCAATAACATACTCACAACCACACGATTTAAAATCCGACAGACGAGAGTAATTGTGACCTACTTGTATTGGAAGTGAATAGTCTCTTTGTATACTTTTCCTTTTATATGCCAAGGTGATTATCTCTGTTCACATGATTGAGATTTGCATAGACAAAATAGTTGATGAAATCTACATTATGTAAACCCAATTCATGAAATAAACAACTATATGATTCACCTATTAGAGATATTTCTAGATTTCTGTACATGCTTATGATTAAAGGTATTTTTGACATTTAAAACGAGTGTATGATCATTTTTATCTCTTATACTTGTTTATATTTTTCTTTAAGGGAGATATTGCTTTCTGTCTTAATGAGAGGTAAATTTACTCCCAAAGTGTTCCGACTTAACTTGGAGTGTCAAGCTTGGGCAACTCTGTGTTGCCCTTGGAATCAGTGCTTGAAACCCTAACCCTTGAAGCCATTATCTCTATATGTTAGACGCATGTTGTGGTATCCCTTGCATATGTTGAGTTTGTGACCAAGCATGTTGCTCTTTGCATACACCTGGATAAAAAAAGAAGAAGTAATATGATATGATATGATATAATTTTGTATTTAGGTTACATAATGAACGATAAGAAATTATTTCCATGAGATCATGTGGAGGAAACAGGTGCAACGCTTGATTTTCTTAGTACATCTCACTGATATAAGTGGAGTTTGCACTCCCTAAGAGTTCAATGTTGTACACATGTCAAGTGATCTCATGTCTCTTGTGATTGAGATCACAAGGGTTTTTAGCTTTGCAAGCTGGATTGCTGGGTCCAGAATTATGGTTATGTTCATCTTCACAGAGATAGCAACAATGTGTGGCTTATACTCTAGCTTTAGTATCGAGTTAGATTTTTATTTTCTTAGTAGTTTAATATATGATGATTTTTCGCATTAGTATTGAGTTAGAATTTCATTTTCTTAGGAGTTTAATATCTGATGATTTTTCGGTTTCGGGGTTAACTAAAAGGAAATATTAACCATTTAGTAGCCATAGATTTATATTATGGCTCTCACCATTTTCTCATAATAGGACCTGTGATTCAATTGGTTCTCTAAGTCTTAGCGGGAGTAGTTAGTTATAACTAGCTTTTCTTTCATAGGGAGATTGCAATACCTCAAAGGGGCTATTATTCAAAAAGAAATCATGATTGAGTGGCTATTTTTGAATAATAGCCCTTTTTTGAATAATAGCCCCTCAAAGGGGTAAGTCTAGAAGAGTAATGTATCAGTCCAAAGAGTACTGATTGGCTAAGGGCTTCTGATGGAGTCCTAGTTGAGTAAGGTAACCCTTATGCTAATTAGTTTCTAGTATGTTTCAGGATCTCAACATATTATTTGAGAGTGAAAAACCAAAACCTACCGTAAAAGTTTTAGTTCTAATGCAGTAAGATCCATGATGTACGTGGTGCCCAATGTTGGTACAACAGAGCTAGTCCATTGGGTGATTTTGAGACATCAGAAAGAAGAATGCACTTAAGGGGCCGTCACTTGTTGTGGCGGTAAAAGGCTTGGGTAGCCAGTGCAAGAGCATGGATTCGAGTCTTGAGAGCAGCCACTTTGTGCATAAGCCAAAGGTTAGGACCGTTTCCTGCCCACCCCTCCCGGCACCTTGCTTAGGCAGGACCAGTACGGGGTTACTGCCCTTAAAGAAGAATGCACTTAATGACTTTACTTGAGTTACATTAGTTTGTTTGAAGTTTGGAGTTCTCATCCCAATAGACGAAGAATTAGAAACACATGTATGCATTTGGTTGTTAGGTTTGTTCATGCTTCACAGTGAAATGAAACATTTAACAAATTTAAAATATAAAATGTATGCCTTAATCTCAAGGAGTCCTAGAAACTTCTGAGTTAATCACATTTAGAGACTCCAGCATGATTCACAACATCTATAGTGAGATTTGACCATATTCATGCATTGTGATCCATTTCTTGCCAAATTGGTGCACATTTTGATTAAAATGTAAATCTCAATTTCATTCACTTTATCAGAACAAGTTGTACTTGTTTTATTGTCCGAATTATTTTCAAGGATTAAAATATAAAATTTATTGTATTTGAGGAATATTTTGTGACCTAATATCCTTCTCAAAGTTATTTTTAAAAGCTTATCATGGATTTCAATGAATTTTTTGTATCCAGATTTGAATTGAAAAGATTGGACTTTGGGGGTTTCTACACCCTCATACTTGAAAATGAGGATGATGAGATGATATCGGTAGCTACAATTCGGTGAGTTTCATCTCTTTTCCTTTTTATATTTTTCTAGAGAAAATACACAGTTCTATTTGTATCATCTTCTCGTGTGAGTAATATTTGAGTCCACAATCATGCTAATTTATTTTATTAAGGTTATTCATTTATCGACAAATCTTCATTGCAGGATCCATGGGGAGAAGATAGCAGAGCTTCCCTTAGTTGGAACTTCAGTTAAGTTCCGGAGACAGAGCATGTGCCATCTTCTCATTGATGGTCTTGAGAAGGTATTCATAATTGTATTTGAGCTTTTTCTTTACTAGTTGTGCTTGGAACTCATTTAATGTTGATATATTGTTGGATCTTTTTTTGGATTGTTTTGCTAATATATTTTTTTGTCTCTTTTGTTAGCTTTTGGCCGGCATTGGTGTTGAGCGGTTGCTGCTACCGGCTGCAAACCAAGTGAAGAAAACTTGGGAAACTTCATTTGGATTCCAAGTGGTAGAAGACTCTGAAAAGAAAGAACTAATTAAATATGTATTTTTGAATTTTCAGGAAATCATACAATGTTGGAAGAATTTGAAATGATAATTCAATACATAGGAAAATTATCTAATTATTGTGAATAGATGTATCATTTTTTTTGGTTGGTTATGGATTGATTTCATTCGTTTTATTTGTTAAAAAATTTGCTAAAAATATTTGTGGACAAACATTTTTGGAAATGGGGATCTAAGATGGTATCCAGTAGTATCTAGTGTCCGCATTATCATTCGATAATGTCCATGATCTTTCTAAATGGATGATACTTTTGAAGAATGGAATAAGTAGGCAAGCAGCCGACCTGTATTCTTTTGCCTATTTTATTTAAAAATGAAGTTTGTATAAGGTCTAGGCTCTATAAAAACAAAATGAAACCTTACTGATTGTTTTAAAATCAATTTCCAACACCAACAATAAAAGTTGAAAATAAAAAAATGGTACAAATCTTGCGGATCTATGCACACTTATTTTTAGGGCGAAATCGCTGGCCTAGATAATTTGTTACAATATACATTATTTTTAGAGCTTTAAATCCTAATTTCTTTCACAAACATAATGTTCAAGCCAAGATGATCGATATAAAGGTTTGTCAATGCTTGAATTGCAACTTGCAACGAGTTATGCGGTGAGGCTTTACCAGTGTAGGAAAATTGAACCGGAAGAGTTAATCGGACATGGGGATGGTGGTCAAAAAATATTTTTTAATAAAATATAAAAAATATATTTAAAATAGGATTAAACAAAACACATCCAAATGAAGTTCAAAATTAATTTAAAAAGTGGATTTTAAAGATAGAAAAAAATTTATATAGAGCTGAGACTCTAAACAATCAAATTAGAGCCCTCCTCAAAAATTTCACTAGAAGAGGTTGTTTTGATGCCCAAATATCCTCAAATTGATCATCTCGACATCATGATGCATGGACATGAGAAAAAAATAGATTTCAAGTTTTGAAAATAGTACATCTTGTAACACATTTTTGGATCGTCAATTTTCAAGATTTTCAAGTTTTCATAGATCTACTTGATCTACACATTTTTTAAGATTTAAATTTTATAATTAAAGATGAAAATATACTTTAAGGTTATCACAAAGATTTTCAGTACTGAAACTACATTTCTCGATACTATTTGAAGGTGCGCTTTGCTTTGATTGTTTAGAGCCTCGCTCTATACAAATAACACATTTTAAAGAAGAAAAAAAAAAATATAAGGTTGCAACCTTAAAATGTAGAACTATGGATGCACCTCAAAAATCTATTTGAAAACATTGTTTTAATGTTGAAAAACCCTCTAATTGATCATCTCGTCATCGAGATGTCTGACTAAGAAGAAAAAAAGGATTTTGAGTCGCATAAATAGTGCATCTTACAACACATTATCTAGACCGCCCATTTTCAAGATTTTCATATGTTTATAGATGTACTTGATTTTAACCATTTTTGGGGTTTAAAATTTTATAGTTAGATATGAAAATAGATTTTGAGATAATCTTAAGTATATTTTACATCAAAGTTATATCTTACGATAAAATTTGAAAGGTGTGCCTTAATTGGATTGTTCAAGGTTGCAACCTTATGGAAACCACACCCTTTAAAGAATGATCAGGATATTTTTGATTTTTTTAAAAAAAGATAGAAAAATGTAAAAAGGTTTTAATCGCCAAAACAATTTATAATCTTCGTCAAAATGAAAAAAAAACATTAAAAAAAACATTACAAATAAAATGTCCTATGTTTTTGGGGTTATATATATATTTTTTAATCTTTTTAAAAATACATAGCCGGTTCACCAAAAGCGGTCGATTCCGATTAACCGGGCCACCTGATTTTTCTTACATTGGGCTTTACTAATTCTGATAGCTCCTCCCTTTTTGCTCTTTCTCAATAAGCTTGCATATGCCATTTCTTCAACGAACATTTGCGAGTAGACATGCAGCTCCTCCCCTTCAATTGTGGATTGAAGGGGCTGGCGGTTCACAGCTGGTTCGCTCTGTGCTTATGCACTCCACTAGCAAGGTCGAATTGGAAACAACAGGAAAGTTTCCTGCTTCCAGATCAGAGCAGGCTTGCTTCGCATTGGCTACACTAGGCGAAGCTGCTTTTAGACTAGAGGTAAAAAGAACAAAGTCTCTCTCTCAACCAACCCGCAATACGTCAAACCTAAGATCATGGATGCTTTCTTTAATGGGCTTTAGTCAGGGACTTAGGGATGAATTCATGTCCATATCATTTAAATCAATCTAGGAGAGATCGTAAAATCAAGCCTCCCCAAAGCCACCCGGACTAGTCGATAGATTCGCCAACTTGCAGGATGTGTAGCTTAACTTTGATGCCAACTCCCAAGAAATTTATGTTAGGAGTTAATAGCCTTTTTAGATGTAGAAACAGGAATCCTAAAAGTTGGATCAGAACATGTACTTATCCAATTAAAAATGAAAGAGGCGAGAGTACGAACCATAATACAAGAAATAAGTCACAAAACATATGCTCGCTCTTATCTCTATTCCACAGCCAAACTACTGTTTGAGAAGAAACTGTTGAGAGCAATGAAGACTTTATGTAACTAAAAGGAAAAACTGCCCAAATCTCACTATAATAGTGTTTCTTTTTATATGAAGCTCTCTTCTCTCTAGGGAGAGACCACCCCTCATGCCTATGAGGCCCATACCTCTCTCTCTTTATAGGAAGAGATATTTCCTATATAGTGATCCAAATATGGCACACTTATTCTTTCCTATTTCATTCCATATATATAATATTAGGAATTTAGACTAAATAAAAAGCTTCCCATAGATGTTACATATATCTAATAAACCAAGAGATATATTTAAGAGTCCTAATCTTTTTGGATTTCTATTTCATTTAGAAAACTTATCAATATCAATCTCGATCCCACATAATATGAGATTTTTTTTTGTTGGGTGGTGTTGGATATCATATCCAATAATTTCCACCTTGATATCAAAATCACCCCCGTACCATGCCAACATTTAATTGGAAAGTTTGTGCTTGCCATCATATTTCTCCACCTCAAATAAAAGAGTCGCATACTTTTCCATGTGTTTTTTTTCAACCGAGTGCACAAACACTAGCCATGTATCGAACCATGCACTCTGATACCACTTGTTAGGATTTAATAACTCTCTTAAATACGGAAATAGGAATCCCAAAAGTTGGATCCCACTAAGAACGTGTCCTTATTCAGCTTGAAACAAAATAGGCGAGAGCAGTGTTTTAAAAAAAGACGAGTCGAACCGGACTCGCTCGATTCGACTCGGAAACACGTGTGCCCGTGCCGGTTCTAACCAAAAACTAGGAACCGCCCGGTTCTAGAGTGGAACCGCCGGTCCCCATCCGATTCTATCTGGCTCAGCCCGGTTCACACACGTAACGCATGATACACACGTGCGAGCGTACCCCACTCACAATCACACGCGTACACGTGTGTTCGAGCACACGTGCGAGCGTGCCTCACACACACTCACACGTACACATGTGTGTCCAAGCGCATGTGCGAGCATGCCCCACACACACTCACATGTGCACACGTGTGTCCAAGCGCACATTCGAGCGTGCCCCACGCACACTCACACGTGCACACATGTGCCCCACGCACTCACGCGTGCACACGTGTGTCCAAGCACACGTGTGTCCAAGCACACGTGCGAGCATGCCCCACGCACACTTACGCGTGCACACGTGTATCCAAGCGTGCCATGTGTTCGAGCGCATGTGCGAGCATGCCCCACACACACTCACACGTGCACACGTGTGTCCAAGCGCATGTTCGAGCATGCCCCACGCACACTCACACGTGCACACGTGTGTCCAAGCGCACGTATGAGGGTACCCCACGCACTCACGCGTGCACACGTGTGTCCAAGCACACGTGCGAGCGTGCCTCATGCACACTCACGCGTGCACACGTGTATCCAAATGCACGTGTGAGGTTGCCCTAATATTTTGCACACATCTTATAATTCATATTGCATAGGTATTTATATACCAAATTGAATACCATCTTTTGATGTGAGATAATTCTCAAACATCATTAAATGAAAACGAAATGTACATATAGCCTATTAATCAACAATTTATAATCATATGTAGTTAGATGGCTTGATGGTTATGACTTTGAATTTTTTACTTGAGGTCCCAAGGTCGAATCCCCTTGGGCATGTGTTGCATTCGAATCCCCTTGGGCATGTGTTGTATTTTTGTTGTGTATATAGTGGTTGGTATAAATATAAATATTTTTGTTGTATTCGAATCCCCTTGGGCATGTGTTGCATTTTTGCTGTATATATAGTGGTTGGTATAAATATAAATATTTTTGTTGTGTATATAGTGGTTGGTATAAATATAAATATTTTTGTAAATAATATAAAAGACATAAAAAAATGAAAAATAAAAAAATTAATTTTTTATATAATAGTTAATTTTTGTTGTATATAGTGGTATAATTATTTTTGTAAATAATATGAAAGGTATAAAAAAAATAAAAATAAAAAGTTTATTCTATTTGAAATCTCCATCTTTCTACTAACAATCTCTTTTACTAAATTTATTATAGAAACCTAAAAAAATAAATTTTTGAAAAATTGAAGTGTTATTTCCAAAATTTGTACGTATTTTATTAATTTTTATATTGATAACCAAATCTTTTATTTTATTTATGAATTTTTACATTATAAATCATGTAATGTACTATTTTTCTTACATTTGTCAATAATACATTTTAAATTAGATAATATTATAAAATATTTTTAATTTGTTATTATTTGTCTAATAAAATAATTATAAAATGTAAACTAATAATTATAATTTCAGTATATAATATTATAATTAGTGAGGTTGTAATAATTTTGGATTATAGTTAGTTAGACTGTAATAGTTTGGGTTTTTTTAGCGGGTTAGGATTTTTCGCCAAAACGAGATTTTAATGGCCATTCTTTCATTGATTAGTCTACTCTTTATAATAGTCCATAGATAATTATATATTTTATCCATGATAATTCTATGATTTTTCTTTTATGTGATGCAAATTTAATAGCTAAAATAAGTTTATACAGGAAAAGAACATCTCAATATTTACAAATTAATAAAAAAAAAATGAAAGTTAATAATGTAGTACCCTCATTTTTTATTGGATTCCTAAAAAAAACATTTATAATAAATTTTAATAATTTTTTTGGATTTTTTTGAAGCTTTAATCCGACCGATTCAGTCGATTCCCCGATCCAAATCGCCGATTCACCGATCCGGATCGGTTTTTGAGGTGCCCGATCCAGGTCACCGATCCTCTTTTTAAACCATTGGGCGAGAGTATTAGTCATAATACATTAAATAAATCATAAAATATACATATCACGAGAACACAAAGATTTATGTGGTTCACCCAAAAGGGCTACATTTACGGGCATGACAGACTAAAATTGCACTATACCAATAAAAGTTGCATCATATATTTAGGGACATAAAGTTATATAGTTAACCCTCAATAAAACCCAGTCGAGCAAAGCATTTTAGACCTGCTCTCGCGACCGGCACCGCCATTGATATCTCAATTTTATTCTACAACTAAACCACTGTCTTGGAAGATACCATTGATATCAATCGAGATTTTCTCTCATTAAAAGGGGAACCACCTAAAATCTCCATGGGAATCACTTTTCTACGAGAAACCAACCTCTCAATCTAAAGGAGGCACCATAGTGTTGGGAATATTTTTAGTCATCATACAAGGCTGAATACACTTTGAGGGATGCATTGATGAGCCTGAGGGTGTGACCATGAGATAAGTGTTGAACGGACACCAGATTAATATCTTGGCAGATGGTGGATAACTAAGCAAACCAATGGATATGGTTCTTGAAGATATTTGCAAAGATTTGCTCTTGATGTGATATATGGAGTATGATATGTCTGGGACTCGTCATATAAAGACCCCAATATGCCTTAAGAGTCCTGGTCGTCGATCAACTCATATATCTTGGGTAGTGATCAAACCATATTAATTTGAGATAGAATCTGGAATACATATACATGATATGTCTCTCCACATGATATTAAAAGAGTTTAAAAAAGGTACGAGACACTTTCACATCCTTCGTCGGTCACATATGTGCATTTTGGCTAATGATTGATTATAAGAGATCATCAAGCCATCTTAGTTTGAGACAAGCTCTGGGATACATACAATCCCGATATCATAATACACCTCTCCACATGATATCGAAAGACTTTGATGCAGTACGATATGTCTTTTGAATCCGTCGTTTGCCAACAAAGGAGTGTTTTGTCAAAGGGAGCATAAGGAAACCTCACCATATGATATCACAATGATGTATATCCTTAAAAATATATTCAATGAGGCCTCATATATCTCTACTCCAAAAATCATGCAAGTTGGGCATCATTTAGTCTATTAGCCCTATTCACCGGCAGTCAAGATATGCATTGACTGACAACTCCAAACTTGATATTTCGGGGATTTATCTAAAAGTCTTGAAAATAATATTTGAGGCATTATATCATCATATTGAAGTTTCACATCATTCAGAGTTGTATTAACCCGTTATTCGTATTCATCGGCGGTCAAGATATGCCTTGATTGGTAACACCAAACTTGATATTTTGGGGATTGATCCGAAAATCTTGAAAAATCATATTTGAGGTGTTATATCCCTCGTCCAAAGTTTCAAGTCATTTGGAGATGGCCTAACCCATCATTTGTATTCAATAAGTCCCTGTGGTGAAATCGGTTATACCCATAATCCTTATATATCTTGGTGTAATTTGCAGAAAAAATGGGTTCAATTGGATGAGCCATATCTCTCTATTTCTTGATCCATTTGAAGTGAGGCTTGAACCATTGTGTTTGCCTTTGAGCCCTCTAACGTCACTCCAAATTTCATGGTAATGGATTCGTCATCAGAAAGAGGCAGAAGATAATATAGACATGTCAATTTTGTTATGTAGACTGACCTTATGACGGGTAAGGAATAACCAATTTCTTTGGTTTTCTCATGCAATATCACGATGAATCTTAGCAGTTGCGCACTCAAATTCAAATATCGGACAAGATCAAGTCTAAACAAGGACATAATTATCATCAAAGCTACCTGGAAGCATTTGCAAATTCAAACAAAGATGTATGTTTATCATTTTGAACCAACTTGTGAGTTATAGGTATAATGATCAAAGATTTGGACAAGCTTGATTGATATTCATCCTTATCATTTCATGAAGTTTATATAAACTCCACTTCTCAACGAGAGAAAGGCAGAAGGAGAGGACAAAATTAGTACACTCCCCATCCACATTTTTGTGCGTGATAAAGAGATAGAGAGACAAGAGAGGTGACTACTCATTCACCATCGGTCAAGAGATAGGCCTATGATATTACCATTATCTAATCTGTAGTAAAGAAATCTGATAAAGAGAGAGAAAAGTTGTTGATACAAAGACCTTGCATTGCACGTTGATGTAATTTTTAACAGGGATTGTAAGTCCTTGGAACTCCTCATGCAGCCGGTATATATGTAAAAAATACTATTGTTTTCATGATATGAAACATAAGGGAGAATTTGGCCCCGTTTGTGTTCGTTCTCTAGTTGTTTTTCTAACTTCGAATCATAGTAACTTAAGCATTTCCTACTAGCACACTTCTGGAGGGACCAAATCTATAGCGACTCCACTGGGGAGGGGTTCACCTAGAGTCTAGGGAAAACAGCATTTTCTCTCTCTAGAATTGAGCTTCACGATAGTCTCTCTCTCTCTTTACTTTGATTGACAATCAGTCCTCTGTGTTTTTACATAGGTCATCAAAAAGGGCTACAAATATGGCTGCCTTGGCGTTATCCTTCTTGGTAAGGGCTACCATATGGCTGCCTTTATCCTTCTTGGTAAGAACTATCACGGTGCGATGTGCATTTCCAGCACCATCAATTGGGCGTATTTTCGCACAATCTAAACACGTCGCTGGAGAAAGTTGATTCGAAGGGAAGTGAATGTTGCAATGGGCAGCAGTCCCCCCCTTAAGTCGCTCTGACTTATCGCGAGAAGCAGCGACAAATCGATGTTCCCGTGGATGCGAGGGATAAGCTCTCGCATGGCTGCAAATCCTCCCAGACCGAGTGCATTAGCGAACGGCAGTAAGCATCAATTCGAAGAAGTCCATGCACCAAATGAATTACACGAAAACATGCGTAGGTTTAGTACCCCATTAAACATATGGCGGCAACTTCTTCTCCTGAGGTCAAGGTCTTTGATCATTCAAATGATTCATTCATCACAAAGGGTTCATAGGCCGGTGGTCAAGACTCTTTTTTAGCCTAACTTGCCCAAACCCATATCCCATACTCATAGGCAGGCGGTTAGGACTCTAATCTGCTTCGACCCATATCGCATGCTCATTGGCCGAACGGTTTGGATGACTTTTGAGCCTGACTTTCCTGGACCTATATTTCGCAAGTAAAGGCCAACAGCCAGGTCTCTCATCACCAGAACTATGTCTTCCCACAAAGTTTTTGAAGTTCACTTTGCGCTATGAGGGTGGCAACGGGACGGGTCGGGTCGGACCCGGATACAAACCAGAGAAAATGATAAGGGATCTGGACCAAAAAATATAGTGTAGGACCTAGACCCGACCCAAAAATTATAGGGTGCGGTTTGCATAGAGCCTAGGTTCTAAACCATCAAATTAGAGCCTACCTTCAAATAGTTTCGAGAAATGTGGTTTCAATACCGGAAATCTATGTGATAGCCTTAAAGTGTATTTTCAAGCTTATTTTATAAATAAAGAAAGTTTAATGCTTCAAGATAGTGTAGATCGACAGATCTGTGAGAACTTGAAATTTTTGAAAATTGACGGTCCAAAAATGCGTTACAAAATACATTATTTCGAAAACTTGAAATCCAATTTTCTCTCGTGTCCATGTATCTTCATGTCGAGATGATCAATTTGAGGATATTTGGGAATCAAAACAACCTCTTCTAGTGAAAATTTTGAGATAGGCTCTTATTTGATTGTTTAGAGCCTTGGCTCTATATAAACTTTTCCCAAAATTAAAATAGCTATGTATTTAACTATGGGAAAAGTTTATATAAGGTTGCAACCTTAAAATGTAGAATTATAATACAACTCAAAAAATCTACCGGAAAGGTTGTTTTAATGTTGAAAAACACTCTATTTGATCATCTCGACATCGAGATGTATGAATATAAAAAATAAAATAAAATTGAGTCTCAGAAATAGTGCATCTTGCAACACATTATCTAGGCCATCCATTTTCAAAATTTTCATATGTTTATAGATCTCCTTGATTTTAACTATTTTTGGAGTTAAAATTTTCTAATTAGATATGAAAATAGATTTTAAGATAATCTTAAGATTTTTTTACAACAAAATTACATGTTATGATAAAATTTGGAGGTGCGCCTTAATTGGATTGTTTAAGGTTGCAACCTTATAGAAACCGTACCCTTTAACTATATTTAAATATATTTCATATGTGGATGAAATTTCTATGTGGCCTAGTCTTTATGAAAACTAAATAAAGCCTCACCTCAAAATCCTCATCTGGATAGTACTTTCGGCCTTAGAAATCTCTATGATGACTTTAAAATCACTTTCCAATACCGACAATAAAATTTGAAACTAAAAAAGGGTATAAATCTTGTGGATTTGTGAACACTTGTTTTTATGAAAAAATGGACCATCTCGATGATTTGTTGCTTGAAAGACATTATTTTTAGAATTTGAAATCCTAATTTTTTTCACAACCATCATGTTCAAGCTGAGATGATCGATTTAGATGTTTTCCAACACTTGAATTGCAATTTTTGACTAATTATAAGGTGAGGCTTTGCTTTTTTTGATAGGGTTGCAGCCCTATCAAACCATTTTCTTTCATATATTGGGACCCAAAAAATATTATTAGACCCGGACCCTAATAGTGTTTGAGTCCAAGATTTAGACCCAAACCCGACTCACCGGGTCCAATTTTTGGATGTGTACCCAGACCTGGAACATGCTTACTCCTCGGGTCCCAGGTCGGTCCGAGTCTCCACTGCCACTCCTAGCACCTTATACTGGCCTCACACTTAAAACAAAGGAAACATCGTCCTCCCTCTATTAAGTTAGTTTAATATTAGAAAGCCCTTTGTTTTTGTAACGTCTTTCATCTTGGTATTTTCCTATTGTCTTCATCCTCCATAAACACAGCTATTCTTCATATTCCCCTTTGTCATTATTCTTTTTCTATTTCATCCTCCATAAACACAGCTATTCTTCATATTCCCCTTTGTCATTATTCTTTTTCTATTTTTATTTTTATTTCCGTGAAAACCAAAGCCACGCATTTAATTATCCAATGCAATGAAATGAACGAGAGAGAAATTTGTTACTAATGGTGTAAACGAATGGTTATGTATGCTGGTTTTGATTTTTGATTAAGTGTTAAGCTAAATTTTTGCTAGTTTTTCTCTCAAAATTCTATGACAGGTTGCAGATAATCCAGGTGTAGTTGTGATGAGCACATAATACAATGGTAATTAGGGTTTCAAACTCTCTCTCTCTCTCTCTCTCTGTCTAAAGAGTAGCTATTACCATTTTTTTCTTGAGTTTTTCACAGATTTTTACAACATTATATAATATTTTGAATAAAGGATCTCTTGGTTTTTGCCCCATAGTATTTCACAACAAACACCAAACTTCATTTTCCATGATTTTCCATTTTTGCATAATTTCGTCAAGAGTTTCAGTGGTTTGAAAAGCTTGTGAGCATAAATAAAACACAGAATTTCCACCATATTTCTTCATACTTAAGAGTGATGGAGCCATATGATGAAGACCCCATGTCTTTGAAGCTATTTCGTGCAAAATCCGACCTTCTTGATATTCTCCAAGCCTCAAATTCCATGGATTTGAGCTTATCCAAAATGGAGATGCGTTTGACTACCATAACACAAACCATCTCTACAACAAGAAGGGTCATTGCCCCTTTACAGTCCATTGCAATGGCCACCAAAGCCTTGGACACTCGCATTGATCGAGCCATCTCTCCAGCCACAAAGGTCCTCGAAACCTTTCGGATTGCCGAGAATCTCCAAACCAAGTTGTCAAAGACCCCAAACCCAAATCCCAGTTCTACCGTTGATCCTGTCTTGAAATCAGCCAACCCCTCGAACCCAGTCTCAGTTGATCACCTCAATCAAATATTGCAATTGTTACAAATCATCGATGAATTGCATTATACGCTTCAATTGCTCACCACAGATTGTGAGCCGGCAATCCAACGGCTACAAGAGGTTGTTGAGTTCCTCAGTAGGACAAGAGCCACTGATAATTATCGCATCAATCGCCTCAAGGATGCTCTAGAGACACTTAAGGCTGTGTATGAGAATGAAATTGACACCATGAATTATGATGGGTTACTTGATGAGACACTTTTGAGTTTGCAATATGACTATGAGAAAATTCTGGATCAATTGAAGCTCAAAATCACAGAAGAAGGAGACCAGGATAGGAAGGATTTGGGGTCAGAATTGCAAGTCGAAGTATTGAGAAGAATTACCGAGACACTCTCCGTTAACGATTGCCTGGACATCTGCATCGACATCTATGTGAAGATCCGTTATAAGAGAGCGGCAAAAGCCTTGATGCAATTGAACCCAGATTATCTCAAGACGTATGCACCGGAAGATATTGACTTAATGGCTTGGAAGAAGCTCGAAACCGCAATTTCTCTATGGATTCAACATTTCGAGCTTGCTCTTAAAACAGTGTTTGAGTCAGAGAAGAAGCTATGTCAACAAGTATTCAATAACATAATGGAGGGCTCTATGTGGCCTGAGTGCTTCGTGAAGATCGCTGATAAGATCATGGCTGTCTTCTTTAGGTTTGGAGAAGGGGTAGCGAGGAGCAGCAAGGAACCACAAAAACTCTTCAAGCTTCTTGACATGTATGAGTCAACAGAGAGGCTCAAGCCGGAAGTGGCTGATATATTTGAAGGAGAAGCAGGGATTGATATATGTGCAAGACTTAGGGAACTGCAAAAACTTCTTGTCCATGCTTCCTGCAAAGTGTTTTATGAGTTCGGCCTCCACGTTGAAGGTCTACAAGACGGGGTGCCTCCTTCCGATGGAGCAGTCACAAAACTCATACGTTACTCTGTAAATTACCTAAAAACTTTAACGAGCGAAGGTTATAGCTCGGCCATGGCAAAGGCACTCAAAACAGAGCAAATTTGGAAATCGGGTGTCCTATCGAAGCCTGCCACTGAAGAATCTCTGTTAAAAGATGCAATCATGAATGTTATGGAGGCAATGAAGAGGTACATTGATGGAAAGAAATCCTCTTACAGAGACCGGATTCTGTCGTGGATTTTCTCGATGAACGCGCATTGGTATGTATACATGAGGGCTAGAAACACAGAGTTGGGGAGGCTTTTGGGTGAGCCATGGCTCAGAGAGAAGTTCAAGGCAGCAGCTGAGATGGCTGCTTACTCCTATCAAGAGAATGCATGGGGGTCAGCAGTGGCTTATTTAGAAGGAGAGGAGTTGAAAGAGGAAAACTACAATGACAAGGGAGAAATTGAGGCTCTAATGAGAGAGAATTTGAAGGCCTTTTTAAAGAGCTTTGAAATATGTTATGAGAGGCATAAGAAGTATGGGTACAATGTCCCAGATGTAGACCTGAGGGAGCAAATTAAGGGGTCTATTGTGAAGCTTGTGGTGCCGGCCTATGAGGACTATAAGAGAAGATATGGTGGGGTGGTAGAAAATGTGGAGGAAACCAAGGGTTTTCCCACTCCTGGTTCCATTGAGAGGAGGTTGGGGCGGTTGTTTGTAGGGAAAGCAGGGGGCTGAAAAGGAAGGAATTGGGACAGGGTTTTAGAAATGTTCTGTATGGTTTTGGTATTCCCTCTCTTGTTTCTGTGTTTCATGTGTTTGGTTCTTGCTTTATCTTTTCCTTCTTGGAAAGTACTTTCTGTTGCTTATGTATATGGATCTGTCAAAGAAGCTAAATAAGAGAGTAGTTGAGAGAGATAAGACCAGCAAACATGGTTGGTGACTGTATATCATTAACAGACAATTGCACCAGTTCTTGGTAAAATCATGAACTTTTGAACCCACCCCGAATCAGTTTGGTGACCGAGATGTTCAAAATTTGAGTGTGAGCAAGCAGTGGCATTGAGAGCGTGACTTAGCCACTAAGACGTTGTTCGGAAATCTTGGCAAACTGGCTGGGCTGGCCCAAGTTGAGCCTGAGGCCTGACCCTTGGGTCATATTTTGCTCCCAGGTCCTAGTTTTTATAAGTTGGGTTCATCCGGGCTAAGCCAGGCCGCTCGACGTTTACTGGTGCCAGCCTTGTGGTTATTTACCAGTAAGGGTATCTATGCGAATAAGTGCTCAGCTCACAGCTTCATTCATAGGTATCTGATAATATCTTTCTCTTTTGTTAATACCGGCCAAAGTATTTTTTTTTTAATTTGAAGACAATCAGAAAATCCTTGCTATCGGAATCGTTTTGCTTATAGGAGGAGTTTGCAGGCACGAAAGGGTGCCCTTGAGCAGTGGCAGGCCAAACTAGAACGCCATTAATTGTAGTGCAAAGAGAGTATTATTCCTAACCCACTAATCTCAAGGCCACCAAAGGGGTGGGTCTGTAAGTCTTTGAGTCCGCATTTTGTGCCTAATGGGCTGGTCTGACTACCTTAAACCAATCAAGCATTAGTTTTCACTGGTTCTAGCCAAACTCATTTTTGCTTTCAACTGAGAAAAGACTAATATTAACTTTTTTTTGACAAAAA